GAACTGTGGCCCCTGGAAACTTATCTGGATTGCCATATATCAGGCTACATTCTGCACCTGTACCCACCAATGCCAAAACATGCTTGGCATGCTCGTCCTTGACCCCCAAAAGATGAGTACCTTGGCCTGCTCCCTAATCAAAATAGAACAGTTCATCTGCCTCCTCGGGAGCAACCAAAAAGTCCTTTAAGTCCACTGAACATACCTTGCTACCTGTTTCTGGATGTTTAGTAAAATGCTATTCAGGGTGCAATTGCTGCCACAAGGCAAACAGAACTGTGTTTGGCTGCCAGTTAATTTTCTTTTTATCAGCCCCTGCTGCAAGCAAGTCAAGCCACATCTGCTTTTGGCAAGTCTTGCTTGGTCCATTTGGGATAAAATCCCGAGTATTTCTTGGGGGGTTGGTCTTAGCCACCTTTAAGACCCCTTTTGCTTGTCTTTTCTCCTCTACTTCACCCAAGCTGGCTATCATGGTCGTTACCTCATGTATGGGATGACCAATGTATGGGTCTATGGCTGTCAAAGGATGTTGACGGGGCATTTTGCAGCACTATGTCTCTCATGCTGCCTGTAAAGTTCTCATTGTCTGGGCCATGAGTGTTCACATTAAACATGGGCTGCCGCATCCCCAGCTCTGGAATGATTTGGACCAGCTCAGCAAATGTTTGCCATTTACTCACAATCTTGGGCAGTTCTCCAGCATTTGCCCCCATGGTTTGGGCAGCTACATTCACCCAGTCCATCAAGGAGTGACTACCTCACTCAGGTGCATTCCTATGGCTATTCTGCAGCCGTTGTCTTGGGGATGGGTGCGTGGTGATGGAGGCTAATTTCTCCACCTCCTCATCAGAGCACATTACACTATCCACCTCTAGATCCCATAACCATAACTGTCAAGCAGCCAGAGCCTCCCCCTGTTTCTGCCAAAACTGTCTCCCCAAGTCAACTAGTTCAACCTGGGTATATGGGTCATACGTGGTGAACTTGTTCACCTGTGGATTGCTCACTGGTTGTTCGTCTGGTCCCATAGGCTGCTCGTGCCTCAACTTCTCTTGCACAACAGGTCATGCCTGGAGATGCACAGTTTCCCCCAACTCACCATTGGGTTGGTCATCTTCCCTGGTGTGAGGGGCAGGAGTGGCCAGTCACCACATGTCATCCTCTAGGACATTTATCTGTGCTTCCAACGACTCTGCTTTCTGCTTCAAATCTT